TCCCCATACTCAGGAGAAGCAACAGAATGTGTTTTGGGGTGCAATACCACATATACCCATAACATGTAGAGAAATATCTAATTAAAGTGAGACCTTGTGTAAAAAAAAAAAAAAGAAATCTTCCATGAACTGTTTGAACTGCTCTGGCATTTAAGCTTCTGCCACGCATCATCCACTCTTCTAACCACTTGAACACCAATCCTTTTCCAACACTATTACATGTAATAATCAGTATTTATTGCTAGAAAATTTCTTAGAATCCCCAAACATTATATATTTTTTTAAAACAGAAGCTCTAGAGTATAAAATAGTGGGTGCTGCAATTTTTTATGTCACCCATTTTTTAATTTGAATGCACAAAAAACATAATATACTACCCAATTGCTTGGTAAAATATAAAAGATGATGTTACGCCGAGTAAATAGATGCCAAATATGACGTGCTTTAAACTTGCGCACACTCTTACAATGGTGACAAACTATGTACATATTTATTATTCATAGGCAAAGCCTTAAAAGCCTTTACAGGTTACCACTTTAGATTTCACAGGAGGTCTTGTGCAAGAACTAATGCTCTTTATATGATGTTTGTGGTTATAACTTCGATGCATGATGCGATCGCTGTTTACTTACAAACTCGAGACCGGCTCATGCATTTGCCTTTGTGCACAAGCTGGGGGGAGGTGTTTTCGATTTTTTTACATAATTAATTTTTTTTTCTTTTTTATAATGTCCCTTTAATTTTTTAAATCACTTTTATTATCACACAAAGTTTAAATATTCCCTGTGATAACAATAGGCAGTGACAGGCGTGTTTTAATGCAAAATATGGGATCTATTAGACCCCAGATCTCTCCTCTGAACTTAACAGCTCTGATCACACCAAGATCAGTATGATCAGATGTTTTCCCAATGTAAAAATGGTGCTGTTTATATTTGGCAAAACCAGAAGTGTTGAAGTGCTCATTGTTTCTGGTTTAGACCATAGAGATGTTCAGAGCCATTCCTGTCTCTGATCAGCTCTATGGTCAGCTGGCTGCATTCTTATGTTCCCTGGTGGGGCGGGAGAGTCCAAGAAAGCTGTGGAAGGTGGAAGGGGGACCCTCTCCCATTGCCTGACAAAGCAATCCAGCAGCTAATTACCCATCAGAATTGCTTTTACATGAAAGCTGACCGATGGCTGAAAAATCAATACCAGGATGATGCCTGCAGCTGCAGATTTCATCCATAATTAACCACTCAAAGTCCAATGATGTACCAGTACATCTCTGGTCCTTGCTGGGCATACTTTGGGCATGTTCTTTTTTTCATACAGCCTGTGGGCTGCCCCCCAAAAAAGAACCTAACATATTCCTCCATTCACATTGATCGACGTGGAAGAAGAAATCTCTGCCAGAAAAAGTATATGGTACACAGACCTTTAGAATATACCGACCTGCATCCACTTACTTCTAATGTTGGACATACATGCAATTTTCTTTGCTTGGGAATATACATTCTTCTTTTAACTGTGGATGGGAAATCTCCTTCTGCAACCACTATCGTAAAAATCCTGGTGCTGTCAGAATAAACAGACCTGAGCTGCAGCTGATTGGCTTTTCTGGAAAGCAAACAACAGCGGTTAACGATAAAACACAATAACAATATCACATTAACTCAATAAAACTACACCTTTCGTTTTCATTTTTTTTACTTTTTAATTCTTACATTTTTCTTTTAACTTTTTAGAACAATAACTTTGTAGCCTGTCATTTTAAAGTCTTTAAAATGTGATAGTTTCCTTACTGCCTGGTATCTTTCGAGACTCTATGTGAATGTGTAACCCAGATCATGCCACACTGTACCATGAACTAATACTGTACTAGTGTGTGGTAGCAACAAAAGCAGTCCTTGAACCAGAGACCAGGGTGGGCAGGACAGAAGGGATGGAAATACCACAGAATCACCAGAACACAGCGGTAATGTGATTCTCTATGTCCTGGTGACACACCGATCACTGGGCTCCAGGATGCACACTGTGTGAGATGTGCAGGAGCCATCGATGGCGGCTGATGTACAGAAACATTAGTCCTGCTTCCCGTCTGCCATACAATGGGTGGACGGGAAGACGTTAATTGGCTGATTTCTTTTATACAAAAAAAGCTGTTTGACCAACTTATTCATTGAAGTGGTCAGACTAGGGTGAGTGGATTACAGATTGGGGGATTCATGAAGAAAAGATTTGATGAACACAAAGGAGCGAGCTTCTACCATGTCACCTACGAGGGGATTTATTGTGCTTAGCATTGTGGGGAATTGAATTTCACGTTACACATGATTTGATGGAATTTGATCATTTTGCACATTCTTTGGCACTTTTATTATGAGATAAGTTTTTGTATGTTAAATCATTGGAGATCTGTGGATTCATTTTGTACTGTTTGGCACTTTATTGCTTCCACATGTAATGTTTAATGTAAGTGTGATTGTTTGAGGAATACTTATTATTATTGTATTGGAGGGTTGTTTATCGATTTTTTTTATTCTTATGCAGCACTGTTTTTACCATGCATGATTTGGATACTGTGGCAGTGCCGTACCCTGTTAGGGTCCAAGTTTTATGAACAGCCAGCATACTGATTGGTCAGGTGTGTGCTGGGATTTAAGTAATAATTTGACCATGGTTCTGGACCAGGGGCGGACTGACCATTTGGAAATTCGGGCACTGCCCGAGGGTCCGGGGTCAGTAGGGGGCCCCATGAGATGCCCCTGGTACCTTTTTCATAGGCTTTTTTGAGTTTGGGCAAGGACACAGGGGCCCCATGATCCCCTATTGCCCGGGGGCCCCATGAGTTGTCAGTCCACCCCTGGGCATGCATGAGATTAATGACACCACCTCAACTGCTACACTACTCCCCCCTGGTACTTGTAGTTCTTCTGAACATTATGAAAAGATTGCACAAGCAGTTGCAGCCATATTACTGCCTACTATCACACAGGCTGTAGACAGAGCAGTTACAACTGGAATTGATCAGCTTAGAAAAGATTTGGGTGACCAATCTAAACGTCTATCTGAAGCAGAACAACGTCTTTCAGATTTAGAAGATGAAGTTCAAACGATCCAAGCGGGCACGCTTAACACTAATCGTTCGCAGCAAAGCATTCTAGAAAAACTAGATGGCTTGGAAAATCGCTCATGAAGGAATAACCTGTGCATTGTAGGTCTTCCTGAATCCTATAACTCAGGAACTCTTCCTGAATCCTATAACTCATGATCCCCTGTTTCCCGGGGGCCCCATGAGTTGTCAGTCTGCCCCTGTTCTGGACTCCACCCCAGAAGACAAAGGAGTTCGCTGCCAGGAGTCAGAAAAGCTCCACATGAGAGCCAAAGCAGCAAGCGGCTAAAAATTATGTGTACAGAGTTGTGTACGAAGACAGTCTGGAAGAGAAAGACAAATGGCCTGAAGGGAGTGCTGCGTGTATAAGTCAGGAACCTGAATGTGTATTTCTTTGGTTGGAAATGCTGAAATCTCCATGTGATGGAAACTCATTGATTTTCTTTTCTGGAAGCTTGTTGGACTTTGTTTTATTAATATTGGGCCAGAAAAGTCGTTTGATGCTGATTCTCACAATTGGTGGAGGATGCGGGCAGAACTGGAAGCCCCTGCAAAAGAAGTAAGTTCATCTGTTATACAAAGTGTGTTTGTTCCTGAGAATACACAATCTGTCTGTGCAGGTGACAAGAACCTGTGAGAGGAAAGTTTCTTGTCTTAAAGAGACAGTACACAATTTTTTTTTCTGAGGAACTGTGTTTATGGTGTGCATGAATGCAAAGATGGGTTCTGTTGCCCGTCACATCGAAGATGCAATCTGTGTGGCAGACTTCATACAGCCAATGTTACCTAATGAGTGTATTGAAGACTTTCATGGCTGAGTTTGAGAATATGGCTTCATTTAAAGCATGGCCAGGTTGCTGGGCTGAATTGTTACAGCCTTTCCTGCCAGCAGAGTCCCAGAAAGTCTACCCTTCCATGGGCCATGACCAGGATAGCTATGACAGGTATAAAGTAGCAATACAGTCTGGAGAAAGCTGGGAAAGCTCTGCTGGGAGAGCGCTGTTTCCCTTTGCAACTGGAGAAAGTGTTTAATTGGGGTGGTGGAGCTGCAGGGGAGAGGTGGCTCACCATCACTATAGAGATGACAGTGAGTTTCTGCATTTTGGGAGTTGCCAGTAGAAAAACTCCCTGATAAAAAGTCACCAAGTACCATGCCTGGAATGTGGTCAGCTGGGACATGGCATCATGACTTGCCCCAGGTTTTGGGATATGACTAGAGATAATGGAGCTTGGAAAAAGTCTTTGTCTGCCCACCAAGACTGTTGTTCACAGTCAGCCCTGGCAGTAAGGAAATTCCTGTTTTGCCTGCAGGGGGAACTTAACCCCTCGCCTACAGGGCACTTCTACCCCCTTCCTGTCCAGGCCAATTTCCAGCTCTCAGCGCTGTCACACTTTGAATGACAATTGCGCGGTCATGCACAACTGTACCCATATGACATTTTTATCATTTTTTTTTTTAGACAGATAGAGCTTTCTTTTGGTGGTATTTAATCTCCTCAGGGATTTTTATTTTTTCTTAAACAAACCAAAAACCACTGAAAAGTTTGAAAAAACAAAATTTTTTTTCTTAGTTTTGTTATACAATTTTGTAAATAAGTGATTTTTCTCCTTCACTGATGTGCGCTAATGAGGCTGCAGTGGTGGGCACTGATAGGCTGCACTGATGGACACTGATAGGTGGCACTGATGGGCACTGATGAGGAGGCACTGTTAGGTAGCACTGATGGGCATTGACAGGCATCACTGATGGGCACTGAAAGGCAGTACTGATACATGACACTGATACATGGCACTGATAGGTGGCGCTGATAGGCAGCACTGACTGGCACTGATAGGCAGCACTGACTGGCACTGTTAGGCGACACCGACTGGCACTGTTAGGCGGCACTGACTGGCACTGTTAGGCGACACTGACTGGCACTGATAGGTGGCACTGACTGGCACTGTTAGGCGGCACTGATAGGTGACACTGACTTGCACTGATAGGTGGCACTGATTGGCAGCACTGATAGGTGGCACTGATTGGCATTGATAGGTGGCACTGACTGGCACTGATGGCTGACATTGAAAGGCAGCTCAGATGGGCACTGATATGTGGCATTGATGTGGCACTGATGGGCACTGGCACTTGGCACTGATGAGCACTGGCACGTGGCACTTCTGGGACCACACTGATCATCAGGGCACACTGATCATCAGTGCCCTGATGATCAGTGTACATGTCCCCTCCGCGGAAAGCCGATTACCGGCTCTCCTCTCCCCTCAAGCTGTCAGCGTGACAGCTCAAGAGAGAGAGAAATGCCGATAACCGTCATTTACATGTGATCAGCTGTGATTGGACACAGCTGATCACATGACTGAGCCGACATCTTCAGCTCTTTCTGTGATCCGCTGTGTCCGAGGGGCACAGAGCACCGGCGATCGCCGCGCTACGCGCTCGCTCCCTGAGCCGCGCATGCGCAGTGAGAATGGTAGGACATCATATGACGTCCTATCAGAACGAGAGAACCACCTTGCGCCCGTCATTGTACTATAGGGCGGGCGGAAGGTGGTTAAAGTGTTACTAAACACCGGACCCGACATTCACTATATCTGCTCTCCCACAGTACACAGAACATGGAAATGCAATTAGTTTAGTAAATATAAGCTGTTAAATACCTTTTCTCATCAGCAGTATATAGCAATCTTGTGACTTCTATCAGTGTTCAGTAGAGCACTGGTTAAAGCTTGTAGGAGATGTTTTCATTCTGCTCTAGGAGGATGCAGAACACCTGACCTTTGTCTGGACAGTGCTGACTGGTCCTGTGCTGAGCACATGCACTCTCCCAAGAAAACAAAAATCTCCAGCAATACACACCAAACTGATCATGTGCAGAGTGTCTCCAAATGATATGTCTTATCAGGAGATAAGAGGGGAGCACTGGAAGAAGGGGAGGATCAGAGAAGTCAGGATTAATCAGCATTTTTACCTAATGAAGTGTATTAACTCCTTAGGTTCCACAGTGAGTATATCAGGCATGCTTTACTGCATCTACAGACTGATTGTACTGTTGTGCATTTAGTAAAACTTTAAGAGAGGGAGATGTCTGCTGTAATTTCATCCTGTGGCTACCTGGGGGAGTTGGGCAGTAGAAGTGCAGCAGAAGAAAGTCAATGTACTTAAAGCGGAGTTCCACTCATCCTGTCAAAAACTAAAAGTCAGCATCTACAAAAACTGTAGCTGCTGACTTTTAAAAAACAGCCACTTACCTGATCAAGGGTCCCGCAGTGTGTCCCCCACAGCCCATTTCACCTGCCATCCTGGATTCCTAGAGGCTGGCATCTTCAATGTGGGCACCCGGCTGTGACTGCTTGCGGCTTCACAGCCGGGTATCCACTGCGTATGCGCGAGTAGCGCTGCACTTCATGAATGGTCCTGTGGTCTCCTGGGACCCGTCATGTGTCCCAGAAGACTATGTGTGAAAAAGGACTTGCCTCAGTGCAGTGCCCTGTGTAGTGGGGAGGAAAGGGTTAAAATTATCTGTTGATGTGATGTCTATTGATGAGTATGATATTGCTGCTGTGTATACACCTGTGTCAGCTGAACAAAGTTCTGAATTGAATGAGGTGGGGTGGCCGCTAAACAGGGTATGCTATCTCCCTAGAAACAATATATGAGGCCGCAGAGCTGTCCCTAGAAACCTCCAGGGAGCTCTGTGTGTTGGAGCCGGAGGTTGCCCAGGACAATATGGTGCTGATCTGATGGACAAGAGGGTACTTGAATCTAGTGAAGAAAATGTGTTGAATTCTAATGATTACTTCTTAATCTTTTTTTTAGTTTTTTCTTTGACATGTCTGACCAGGAGATCTTAGAGCTTGGAGACATACCACCTTATGGGTCCTACATTAAGCTCCTTGGTTGTTGTAATTCTGAATAATTCTGATTGAATCAATGCGCCTCTGAATCTGTTTTTACTTTAGAAGTTTTCATATCAGGATCTGGCAAGGTCTGGCGTATGAGAGTTTTTACTTTATGGGGAAGTATACTCCCTTGTGGCAGCAGTTTCAAATAAATGTCTACAAGGAGAAAGATTTAGTAGGTCCTATAATGAAAATGTCCTTTAAAATGAAGTAAACCTTTCACATTAAATGTGATCTTCCTGAGAACACGCTCTCATCAACTTTACTAATATTAAAAATGATTTTTACATTAAACCAAGCAAAATGTATTTATTAATATAGACAAATACATCTACATACAATATAATTACAGTGACCCTGACACCAAACTAAACTACATTAAAGTCAGCTTATGAAAGAACATGTATAATATTTATCTTTCTGGAAGGTGGTGAGTGAAATCTTCCCTCTCTTGAAGAGTGATGGGTGTCTCTGGTATCTGACACTTTAGGATGTTTTGGATACATTCCCCCCTCTGGTCACTGTGGTTCCTCCTCACTAAGTGACTACATTGTTATGTAGTGATGTAATGGATGGTGGGAGGAACCACTACACCCAGGGACAAGGTTTCCAACAAGCCCAAAGTGCCTGATACCAATGGTGGCCAGAGCAAAAATGATGCCTACTGTCCACCATTTACTTCATTCCAGAGAGTTTAAATGTTTGTATCTAACAGTGTTCATTCTCAATGTACTAGCAAAATACTAAAATGAACAATAATAGAGATAATGGAGATAATGCTATAACGACTGGTAACCCAGTGTGCTCCTCACATATTAGCGGATAACTGTTTTTGTATTCAGGTCAGGTCTGAACAGAATTATGTAACATTTTGGGAAAAATATACAGCCAAGAAGTCCAGAACTTGATGCCATTATAGCAAAAACCTCCACAGCCACCATGTATTTCCCTCTGGTGCTCAGATAGGCCGGGATCATGGCAATCCAGACACTGCAGAACACCAGCATGCTGAAGGTGATGTACTTGGCCTCATTAAAACTGTCCGGTAATGTCCTGGCTATAAAAGCTATAATGAAGCTCACAGCTGCCAGAAGCCCCATATATCCCAGGACAGAGTAGAAGCCGATAACTGAACCCTCATTACACTGAATGATGATCTTCCCCTGATAAGAGTGAGTGTCTCGATCCTGGAAAGGGGGGGGAGAAATAGACAACCAAAGTGACACAAGATTATGACTTGGACCAGTGAGAAGACACAAATGATAAAATTGGGCAGTTTGGCTCCCATCCATTTCCTCCAGGGACTCCCAGGTTTGGTGGCTTTAAAAGCAATACACACCATGATACTTTTGGCAAGTAGAGAAGAGACGGCAACTGAGAAGATGACACCAAAAGAGGTGACACGCAGCATGCAGGTTACATCTACTGGATGGCCGAGGAACAAGAAGACACAGAGGAAGCTCAGCATGATGGAGACCAGGAGAAGATAGCTCAGGTTCCGGTTATTGGCTTTAACAATGGGGGTGTCCTGGTAATGTATAAATATCCCCAATATTAAACCAGTCAGAAGACAACAGAGGATGGAGACGGATGAAAAAATGGCAACAATGGTGTCATCAGTGTAGGAGAGAAATTCCACCACTCTTGGAACACACCGATCCTTCTTCTCATTTGGCCATTCTTCATCAGGACATTTTCATGCAGTTTTCACTGTCTGCAGGAAGAACATACAAACACAATGAGCATCGGGGTCAGAGCTTAGAAAACAAATTAAAAATATTAATTAATATAATAGATAGATAGAGAGATAGATAGAGATAGATAGATAGAGACAGATAGATAGATAGATAGATAGATAGATAGATAGATAGATATTGAGTGTGCCTAATGGGAAGTGCTAAAAAAATTGTTGGTTTCATAAGGACACAAAAAAGGGTGAAAAGACAAAATATGGAATGCACAAGAATTGTGTTATAGGCAGAAATGTGATAATTGGGAGTTTCAGTTTAAATTGTCAGAAAACCCTGATAATGAACATATTTGCTACCCTTTTGGTCTGTTAAATACACAACTGGAAACATTTGTTATATCTGTACAAGTGCAAAAAAAAAAAAACACCTGTTGATCATTTTTTTATTTATTTTTTTTCTGTTGGTTGAATGGATGGATGGACTTTGTGTCAGCAACTCTGAAAAAAAAATGGTCCTCAGTAGTTTGTATTGCCCCACGTGCTTGTATGCCTGCCTGACAATGTTGGGGCATGCAACAGGTTATTCCATTTTGCTGACATTTCATCGCAGCAACTCAGAATTCTCCTAATGAGACCACTGATGGTGTCCTGGGGTATTTCTTCCCAGATCTGGACCAGGGCATCACTGAGCTCCTGGACATACTGAGGTGCAACCTGGCGGTGTCGGATGGACCGAAACATGAAATCTCAGAGGTGTTCTATTGTATTTAGGTCATGCAAGCATGGGGGGCATTCATTCAATTCCTTCATCTTCCAGGAACTGCCTCCATACTCTTGACACATGAGGCCGGGCATTGTTGTGCACCAGGAGGAACCCAGAACCCACTTCACCAGTGTAGAGTCTGACAATGGGTCTAAGGGTCCAATGGGTCAGATTGCCATCGTCTAGCCTGTAGAGGTCTTTGCTTCCCTCCATGGGATATGCCTCCAGACCATCACTGACACACACCACCAAAATGGTCATGCTGAACCATGTTACAAGTGGCATAATGTTCTCCATGGCTTCTCTAGACACTTTCACGTCTGTCACATGTGCTCAGGGTGAACCTGCTCTCATCTGTGAAAAACACAGGGCACCAGTGGCAGACCTGCCAATTCTGGTGTTCAATGGAAAATGCCAATCGAGTTCTATGTTACTGGGCAAGGCACAGGGCCCACTAGAGAAAGTGGGACCCTCGGGCCACCCTCATGAAGTCTGTTTTTAATTGTTTGGTCAGAGACATTTACACCAGTGGCCTGCTGGAGGTCAGTTTGTAGGGCTCTGGCAGTGCTCGTCCTGTTTCTCCTTGCACAAAGGAGCAGATACCGGTCCTGCTGATGGATTAAGGACCTTTCTACAGCCCTGTCCAGCTCTCCTAAAGGAAATGCCTGTCTCCTGGAATCCTCCATGTTCTTGAGACTATGCTGGGTGACACAGCAAACCTTCTGGCAATGGCACGGATTGATGTGCCATCCTGGAGGAGTTGGACTGCCTGTGCAACCATGTAGGGTTCAAGAATCGTCTCATGCTACCAGTAGTGACACTGATCCTAGCCAAATGCAAAACTAGAGAAAAACCATCAGAAAAAAGATCAGTAGGGAAAAAATGTCAGTGGTCTCCGCCTGTAAAACCATGCCTGTTTTGGGGGTTGTCTCGTTGTTGAGGATATTTGATGCACTCCAAGACAGGAGTAGGAGGTAGATGTGGCATACAATAGTATGTGTAAGCATA